TTGACCTAACTCTGCAGAACTGGTGGCAGGGTACAAAAAGGCCCGTCGAGAATTGAATAAAGCCATCAAAGATAGCAAAAGATGTTGTTGGAAGGAACTCGTCGAAGAGGTAGAGAACGATCTGTGGGGCAGACCGTGCAAGGTGGTCATGACCCACCTGAAATGTCAACCAACGCCGTCATCTACATGTCCACAGCTACTAGAGAAAATCGTCTGTACCTTGTTTTCTCAGCAACGTGAGTTGATCTATTCATCACTGCAGCCTGACCCTGAAGACATCCCACCTGTCGCAGAGGAGGAATTGATGGAGGCATGCAATCGTGTAGGGAATAATAAGGCGCCGGGATTGGATGGATTTCCAAACATTGCTTTAAAAACATCTATTAAAGCAGCGCCGGCATTATTCATAGATACCTACAATGCGTGTCTCAAGGAAGGAGTCTTTCCTGAAATGTGGAAGCGGCAAAGACTTGTACTGCTCCCGAAAGGAAAGAAGCCACCTGACGAACCATCATCTTATCGTCCACTCTGCATGTTAGAAACGGCGGGTAAGATATTAGAGCGAATAATTCACCAAAGAATAGAAGCAGTAGTTGATCTACTCCTGGCAGACAACCAATTTGGTTTCCAAAAAGGACGGTCAACCCTGGATGCAATCAACCTGGTCGTCAACATAGCTAGGGATGCGATTGCTGGAAAGAGATGGAATCGCGGCACAAAAAAGTATTGTTTGGTGGCTGCATTAGACATCAAAAATGCTTTCAACTCTGCTAACTGGAACTGCGTAATGCACACCCTCAAAGAGAAACGAGTTCCAGGGTATTTACGTAGAATGGCAGCAAGCTACTTCACAAAGTCCTCAAATATTATGACACAAAAAGTGGTCCTAAGGAGTATGATATTACTGGTGGTGTACCACAGGGCTCAGTTCTAGGTCCTCTGCTATGGAACATCATGTATGATGGTCTCCTGAAAATAGCATTGACTGCAGAAGTGAAACTGGTAGCATATGCAGATGATGTTGCCGTGGTGATTGTCGCAAAGCATTTTGAAGAGATAAATCTGGCCTTCGACATTAGATTTAGACGGATTAACTTATGGATGGATACGGTGAACTTGCAATTAGCTAAGCATAAAATCGAAGCAGTGCTCATTACTAGCAGGAAAGCGATGGAAACCATTAAGTTACAAGTTGGAGAACATGAGATCACATCACAACCGTACATTCGGTACCTGGGAGTGATGCTTGATGCTCGACTCAATTTCAAGCAACAAGTCGAACATGTAACTGCCAAAGCATCAGTAGTTAGAGCGAGCCTAGCACGACTGATGCCTAACGTTGGTTGACCAAAACAGAGCAGAAGACTACTGCTGTCATCAGTAGTAACATCCGTGCTCACATATGGTATATCCATTTGGGCTGACGCATTAGAGACGCAAGAATCATGGAGAAAAACGGGTCCAATTTATAGACAGAGCGCTCTGAGAGTTGCCAGTGCCTTCCGCACATCAGAAGAAGCAGTGTGCGTCATTGCCGGAACCCTACCGCTTAGAGTACTAACAGAGAAAAGACGGGCCCTTTACCAACGAAAAAGGTCAACTACACTGAGCCCTGAAGAACTTAGAACAGAAGAACGGCAGCACAGCATCTCGCGATGGCAACTTGAGTGGGACGCCGCAGCAAAAGGAAGATGGACACACCGCCTCATACCAAAGATCGATGTTTGGCTGAGCCGAAACCATCGCGAAGTCAACTATTACCTAACGCAGATGTTGTCAGGACATGGGTGCTTTCGAGAGTACCTGCACCGCTTTAAGCACGGTGATTCTCCGGAGTGCCCGTCTTGTCCAGGGGTTATTGAGGACGCAGGGCACGTTTTCTGTGTGTCCATGTTTTGATCCTCAGCGAAATGAGTTAGAAAGGATCCTGAACCGGAGAATCCAACCAGAGACAATAGTAGAGGCAATGTTGTCGAGTCAAACTGCTTGGAACGCTACAAGCACTTTTGCCACAGAAGTCCTTACAGAGCTGCGTTCCATTGAAAGAAAAAGAGCGAATGACAGAAACTAGAAGGAAGGAAAAATAACACCTTAGCCACCAGAAGGAAGATCAGTAGCTAGATCCTCCCTTCACGAAGTAATGCCTGACGGCGGTTTCCATGAGGGATTAGAGGAAAGAAGGAAAAAGGGGTTTAGGGTTTAGTGGGTAGGGGCGTTAGCGTCGAGTTTTAGTGTGACGCTGCGTCGAGTCGCTACATATACAGGCCAAACAGCTATGCCTGGAATCCGTAAAAAGGATTCCCCCCCCCCCCCCAAGGAAGAAAAAAAAACACACACACGCACACACACAGACGTACGGACATCATCGTAAAAATATTCAGGAAATCTTCTTACGGCTTCAAAACGTCGAGATCTGTTGAAACCTCGATTTTTGCAAAACGGGGTGAAAACAATAACTTCCCAATTTTTGAAAATCTTCGATTTTCTTAGCGGGAAGTTAAAAATGGTGAAAAAAAATTTTTTTTTCGAACTATATTTAAAAGTGAAGAAAATAGCCACTTGCAAAATGAAATTACGATAATTTAATCAGGAGTTATGAATTTATGAAAATTAGCTTATCGTTATTTTTTCGCAATTTTCAAAAATTCGTAGCTCCAAGGTTTTTGAAAATTAAGGGCTCAAAATTTCGGATTAGTTGTCTTTTTATATGTGCAAAAAAATACAAAAAATTCAACCGGATCAAAAAATATGATTTTAAACATCAGGTGATTTGACATGGAATGACCCATATGTTTCACTAGACTGTAAAACAAATTTTTTAAGCCTTTTGTCAAATGGGGATTCAAATATCTTCGATTTTTTAAGCAACTTTTTCGAATTTTTTTAATCAGAAATTCGAGTTTTTTAAAGATTTTTTAATTTTTCGGCAAAATTTCAATGTAAATATGGACAAATAATATTTTCCTACTGTGCCAATGATATAAATTGAAATCCTTTATTAATATGTTGCGACAAAAATTTGATGACTGAGTATTTTTAACTCAAAAAGCGAACGAAGTCGCTCTCACTTTGAAAAAAAAGTTTTTTGGTAATATGATTCATGAACTTTTGTACCACGTAAATAATCATCCAAAAATTAAGAGATAAATTTAGTGATGAAGAAACAACTCGAGTTGAAAAAATTCAACTTTTGACAATTCTTCCCAATTTTTGACAATTCTTCTGAAATATTTTTGAAGACCAAAGTAGCTCCAGATTTAGCATTTAGTGAACCATAAAATTTTATCTTGGGTTGACAAAATTTTCGTAACTCAAGAAAGTTTTTGCTTTGTTTCAAATAATTTCTATCGTCATTAATATTTTCTTGAAACAAGATTTACATTTTAACGAATTTTCACATTTTCTATATGTGATTCATTCATATGCTTGTAATTTTTTAATTTAAAGGTATTATACAGAGTGAAAAATTTACTCGAACTCTAAAAATTTGAAGGGAGATACTGAAGTTATTCTGAAGCAAAATTATATTTCAAATCAACGAAACTCAGCTCATTTTTGAAGTGAAACTTTTAATCAATCGTCTCAAATTTTTTCATCCATCTATCGAATGTCGCGTTACAGCTCTCTATATTTTATTTTTCTGTTGGAATCTCTTGCTATTTGATCCCTCTATATTTTACCTCTCTCTATACTTGACCCCATTCTCTCTCTTTTTTTAATTCTTGTATACAGCTCTTATGGACAAGGATGAGTAGGAGAGAGAGAGGTTCTGTACGGCCAAGTCGATGCGATTTTCACTAGATATATTGAAAAAATTGAATGTAAGACGTTGTTTACTCCCTAAAAAAACAAAAGGATTAAAAATGATTCTTCATGTACGGAACTTTCATAAGAGGTAGTATTTGAAATATTGAAAGTTCAATGCTTTAAATACTTTTTAATCGTTTTGTTTAATCAGGTCTTATTTTCGTTGCTATGAAATATTAGTTATATATATTTATAAACTGCGAGATTCATGGCAAAAATAAAGTTATTCATAGAATAATTGAATTGGAAGGTAGATTTCGATATAATTAATAGTTAAAAAAATTATATTAAACAATAAATTCTTAAATTATCAGTGAAAAATCACAATTAATTTTTAATCGAACCACCATGAGTTCTATTACACGGTCTAATATAACCCGTCTCTTAAAAACTGGCAGAAAATGAAATTCTTAATCTTAACAAAATTATCATTCGGTAAATGTATTATAGATCAAATTAAAGACAATTTTATCAGCCTTAAGATAAATTTCCAAGAAATAAGCTATCTTGTTCCAATTAAATGTTCTTTAGAAATAAAAAGACAGAAAATATAATTTTCACTATCTTCAGAAAAATTAAAATGGTTATTATTTCTAAACTTATTGACCGACTTAGCTCATCTTTGAACTCATTTGAGGTAATTGTCTGAGAAACATGTGTACTAAATTTTATTAAGATCCGTTAATAACTACATGAGTACAATCGTGGCAACATGCCCTGGGCTATTCCTTCATTTACCAATTATCAAGTTAGTATTAAAAACGCGATATTAATACCCTAAATCGATTAAGGGGTTACATGGGTTTCGTAGGGGGAAAAAAGGCCTATTTTCAATAATTTTTTTTCTATATAAAAAATTATTTATTTAATTCAAACTTTTTTCTGTCTTAAAGATACACATTTAAAGGATAATTTCTGAGATTTTCAAGAAAAAAAATTAAAACACCGCCATTAAACGCGTTTTTCTCGAAACTGTGTTTTTAAAGTCGGTTGTCAAAAGTTCTCAGAAACTACTCAACAGATCTTGATGAAATTTTACACAGGTATTCGAGATACAATTTACTCGGGCTTTTATGGAGGAATTTTTTTTTTTTCAATTACAATTATTTCAAAAAAAAAAAAATGTCCCCAGCAAATTTGACCGAAATTATCATCGTTTTGGAAAAAGGTCTGCCAAAATTCCAATTTTTACTTTTTTTTTTTTGCTCCATTTAAGCACGAGTTTATGGTCTTAACTGAAATACGAATTTTTTTTTTTTTTTCATTTTAAATGATCCTGTCAGGAGTTATGCTGACAACGCGGACGCACCTTTTTTTCGAGGGGTCACCGAAAATGACGTCACAATGGCAGAGTTTTAATTTTTTTTTTGAAAATCTCAGAAATTATTCTTTAAATGTGTATCTTTAAGACAGAAAAAAGTTTGAATTAAATAAATAATTTTTTATATAGAAAAAAAATTATTGAAAATAGGCCTTTTTTCCCCCTACGAAACCCATGTAACCCCTTAAGTTAAGGTTTAAATTACGTTTTTGATATTTTAATTTTGAGTTTAAGTTACGTTTTGAGTTACGTTTTTGGTTTCGATCCCAGCCGTAGTCAGTTCCTGGAGAGCATCCACTAAAGGAATATCCGTACTCAGAGCCTCAATTGTTTGATTTAAGGGATTAAAATATTTATGGGGATTAATTGCATATAGAAATTTTAGTTGTGGGTGAGTCACGTTTAAGAATAGTTGGGTTTTAGATTTTGTTAAGAACAGTCGAGTTTTAGATTTTGTATATATATATATATATATATATATATATATATATATA